AACAGCCTCAACAAGTTTAGAAAAAGCAGCATCCTTGTGTAACCTTTTGGGGGAAAAACTTGCACTGACTTATCAGGATAATTCAACACATTTATTTTAGAAAAAAAAAGTTGACTAAACAGATCAGTCTTTCATCAGATACCATGACTCAAGGATCTAAAAAAAATATGGCTGCATCTAAGTTTAAATCATCCAAATGCCCAAAGCAGCATAAGAAATTAGTTTCTGGTACTATTTTTATGTTTTTGTAGCTTGCAGCTAAATCATGTATTATGGTGAATCATTAGCTACTGACTTTTATATAGCTCTGCTTGTGAAAAATTCATTTTTTTAAAAAAAAGTTTACTTTGGAAGTTTAAGACTACAGATAGGGCAACTTCAAACCTTTTCATGGGTTTTGCAATTCCTCCCACGTGTAGTATTTTCTTCAGAGAAAGCACATGAAAACACTGACCTTTGCTTTGAGTGTCCCATGTTAACTTTGTTGTGTACTGTATGTTGATGCCTGTCACTGCTTCACCTTCATGGACAGTGATTTTCCTGCCACCTGGGGAAGATATACAATTCACATTCCCACCTGAATTGCTGTACAAAGAGAATTTTCCATGTTTCTACACTAGCAAGCATTTCCTATCTATTTCCAGCCATAATGTGGAGGACACACTTAACTAAACAAGCTCAGGTGACTATATAGCTCCCCACCTCAAATTTTACAGATACAAGAGTTACTCACACTTTTGCATGATCAGAAAAAATAATAACGTGCTGTATTACAATAGCATATTTCCCATGTATTTCTTTTTTTTCTGTATCAACCATTTTAAAACTGGTACTGTGACCTAAATAATTTAAGAGCATATAGATCTGATCATACATGATTGATATATTGCCACTTTCCATAAAGTGTTTTTGCCAGGTATGCAGAGACAGTAATAACTCTTGTGTTTGCAGCACTGCAGTGTGCACATAACCACATTGGGAGGAAGTTGCTCATTTTAAAAAAAAAATACTTCAGGGAGTGAAAAAAGATCCAAAACAAGAAACACTATTTGCATGGGTGTGTTGCATGTGTAGGTCATTACAGTGCTTTGCTGTTTTTTCCTTCACATTATGATTCACATGTTATTTCTAGTTTTGATAAATGGCATCATTGGTGTTTGATCTATCCATTTCTTTACATTTATTTGGTGCAATCAGGTTTACAATTCCCTTAAGGCACAGGGATTTATTTTATGCAAGATTTTGTTAAAGATTACAACTGATTTATTTCAGTTTAGTATTAAGGATGTAGCATTATTATTTGCTTAGAGACAAATATTTTTGAAAGGAATGACTTTAATACTTCTGTTTCTAATAGGAAGAGAGTATGAATCTCAATAACTGTTTATCTTCCCATATCCTCCATCTTCTTTAACATAACCTCCAATATTTCACAAATGTAAGCAGGCACATCTGTGGCCAAGCAATAGTGATGTGACAATTATTCCTTGTGGTTCACTAAAGACACACACTGGGGATTTCTTGGCCCCTTTAAATGTTTTATGTATGAGCTAAGAAATTTGCCACATGATCCTGTAGGTGTGAGAATTTTCATACGTTTCAATTGCAAATGAAATAAAGGGACCCGTTGTTCCAAACTATTTTATTGTTTTATGGCATCATTGCAATAAAACTTCAGGAGTGCAATAGTGTGTTAATTTTCACACTCAAGTCACATACAAAGCTGTCTTGCCATTGGGTGTTGAAGTTGTGTGTTGCTATTGTTTTTGCAATGGCTGGATTCCCATTTGTCAAAGCTCAAACAGAAAATGTCACACAAATAGCTAGTAGCTTGGTCTAGTTTCTGAGGGAGACAGAATAAAGAAGAAAAACTGGGATCAGTTTGGACAACAAGTCCTATAACTGGAAGGGGGATTATGGGACCTGTGGTCCAAAACTTTTCCAAGCTCCAATTCTCTTTCTATCTCTACCTTGCTTTATCCAGCATGTACTATAATGCACTGAACTCAAGAGAGTTATGGAGTCAAGCTATTATTGGACTGCAAGTTCCAGCAGCCTGTAGCTGGGGAATGCTGGGAGCTGCAGTCTAATAACATCTGCATCTTGGAAGGTATGCAGAGTCAGTCAGCCCTGGTTAGAACTTGGATGGGAGACTACCAGGGAATAATACTAGGTGCTGTAGGTTAGATTTCAGAGGAAGGAACTGGCAAAATCACCTTTGAGGATTCTTCACCTAAGAAAATCCTAGGAAGCTCACAGTCCCCCATAAATTGGAGGCACATGTATGTGCGTGCATACGCAAACATGCACGTGCACGCGCACGCACACACGCACACACACACACACACACACACTATCTCTGCAGCCCCTGTAGCCAGATATCTGGCCCTGTAAAACGAGAGAGCACTACTTGCATTTTACATAGAATACTAGAGTTGGAAGGGACGTCTAAGGACAATCCAGCCCAACTTCCTTTGGCCATGCAGAAATACATAGAATCCTAGAGTTGAAAGGAGCATCAAGGGGCCATCCAGCCTAACTCTTTTCTACCATGCAGCAATACACAGTTGTTAGGCATGGTAATGCAATGCGTGGAGACCACATAACGTGAAGCACCAGGATCCAGACTTCTCCAATGAAACAGTCTGCTTGTCAGCTGGAGAAACACCTTTTCCCTTTCCAGATAGAGCACAGAGACTCTACAGCCAGACATCTCACGAATGAGGCTTTAATCTTTGTTGCTCTATATACAGATATGTACAGCATAAATCAACACAACTCCAACAGAAATATGCAATCCACCATCAATAATCCATAACCCACATGTGTGTCCAGAGGCTTGTGCCTTATATAGCCTGTGCTGTACATGGCTCTCTGGCCCTCTTCTTCCTGGACATCTGTCACTCACCTGAGTGACACTGCAGTTTTGCAGCAG